AAAGATGACCGGTAAGGGGATTGTAACCCTTGACTTGGTGTTGTCAGCACCACGCTCACCCAGTGAGCCAACCGGCCATCCCTATGTGGGATCCGAACCCTTGGCCTTGGTGTTATCAGCACCGCACTCTCCCGAGTGAGCCACAGTGTGTCTTCTATTGTTATTAGTTAAATTTACAAAGTTTATGGCTAATTTAGTTTTTCTATAAAATAGGAAAGACCCCACATTTTTCTAACAATGATGCTTCTCAGGCTTGGACATACCATAGTGTCACACCTGTGGATGTTCTTGTGTGTTCCTGAGGGAGAGACTTTGCCAGGGTTCCAACCTAGCATGCAGCTTCATTCCTGCAGCTAAGATTGCAAGGAAGTCTTTAATCTAAATCTCAGGGCCCCTCCATATGTCAGATTTCTGCATTAGAGCAAAAGATGCTGGGCCAAAGATCCCCTCAACCCACAGCTGATGATGAAGCGTAAGAAGGCACAAGAGAGATGTATGAAAATGCCAGAGTTCATTCAACAGTCCAGTTTTTCCACAAGCCACATACATCTCTCTATGCTTGTGCTTTATGCTCTAACCTGATCATCTGCATGTATCCTGTCCTTGTCACTCCCTACCTATATAATGTTTGACAAAATTTAGAGGGAAAATTTTAAAGAAAACTGCCTCACATGAAATATTGAAAACAAAAGCAGTCTTGGGTTCAGTTGCCTAAAAGGGAAGAGAGGCTATAATAATAGGAGCCATGCGAAACAGACACCATCATTTAAAAACCATACTGCAGTTTGCATCAGAGTTCATCAAGAGAGTTCTGGAAGCTTTCTGCAGAATTTAATTATTTGTATTGATTTGGTTTGGGTTTTTCAAAGCTCAAATGCTTGTGGATTCCTTGACCTTCTTAAGCCTCACTCTAAATATATGTGTTTTTGTTTTTATAAAGATTAGGTATTACAGCCTCTTTTTCGCCTAGCATCTTTAGTGGCACGACAAGGCTCAGCTCCAAATGTCTGGCCACAGGCCGCCGGCACCCACCATCATGTGCATAGGTGAGCACCTGAGCTTTCGCCTTTCACCACAGCTGGAGAAGGCTCTAGAAGGGCACCATACCCTGTGGAAAAGCAGAGGGGAAATGGAATTGTAGCATCAGGCAGATTTCTAAACAAAGCAGCATTACCGGACTGCAGGGTAGCCTGGGCGTTTCACAAGCCTGGTGTTTGGACTTCTGTTTGTTCCACAAACAGCTCATAGGGAAGACAGGTCTGGCTGTTAGGGCTGTCTGACAAGTCTACGAAGCAATAAGGGTGAGACACAGAGGTGAGGGCCGAAGGAGGCAAGACGCCATGACTACACCAGGATCCAGTCTGCTTTCAGAGGGGTTAGTGCTATAAGGTACTCGGGCTATCTATGAGATAATGGGAAACTGCCTGTATCTCTTTTCATCTACCCTATCTTTCTCCCTACCTCATTGTTACTCTCAATTCATTTAAAAAAAAAAAAAAGTTCTAGAAGATTCTTCCAAAACAAAAGTCAACTCCAGCACAAAGGCCAGAGTAGTTTCCAGTTTGATTTGATTTGATTCAATTCAATTCCTAAGTTAACATTTCAGGCATGACCTCAGCAGCCCAGGAAATTTTTCTCTCCCTATAGACTGTCAGGCTTCCTTTTTCCAAAGCATCTCTGAACAGTTAAAGATAAACAGTTTGAAAATAAAAAACAGAGAACAATGGATTCGCATGAAGTTAGCATTTTAGAGGTATGAGTAAAACCTAAAACCCACCACTCAAGTGATCGACTGATCTGTGGGCACAAAACAAAACCAACTTCACTCATTAAAATTGACCTCAGGACCCCTCTCTGCCCTTCACTCATCCAACTGGTCATGGTCTCCTTTCTTCTTTCGTGGTGAATTTTTGCTTGAGCACTGCCTCTCTTCCCGTTTTCAGATTTCTTCTCTATCTCCTTTTCTTTTGTTACTTTCCTATCTCTGTTCTTTATTTCTCCTTACTTAACCCCATTTCTCTGTCTTCTTTTTCTTTCTGAGTTTCTTCTCCTCCTCACTAATTCCTTTTCCTTTAACAGACCTTAATATGAAATTAGATTATATTTTGAAAACATACTAAGTATCAAAGACCTCAACACAGACCTTACACAGACAATTTGAGTTAAACATGCTCAGATCTCAAAAACAAACCGAGAAATGGAATAATGTACTATCAGAGCATACAATAAATAACATTCTAAAAGTGCACTTTGTAAATTCTAGACAGTACACAGTGTGAGAGAACATGGCAACAATGGTCTTTTTAAAGCAGAACAAAGTATTGAGTCCTAAAAAAGGAAAGAAAAAAATATGTACTTTTAAATACTTGTGAGTAAATTTTTATATTCTCCACTCAATGTTTAAACCAAGCAAGTTGAAAAGTATTTAATTTTCTCTGTGCTAATTACATATTTACGAGTTTAAGTTTAGAATGGTGAAAAGACTCAGAAGACTCAACTTATACTGATGAAACAGCTTTAATATAAGCAGCCAGCACAACACCACAACAATAGAAGAAAGGTTTGCATTGAAAGGTCTGCAGATCTCAGGCTCACGCTTATTTGTCCTTCCCCTGCTGGATCACATATAACAGCTTTGTACTCACATCTCAAACCACCACTAGTGTGCATGCAAACACCTAAGCTCTCTCATGGTGGGGTTGCTGAGAGGGAGCTGGTCATGCAGGCACATGCCAGCTACCTGGCCAGCCTTACTCAACCGTCAAAACCTTCAGCTCCACCAAAACTAAGTGTTGAGCATAAATCCAATTATTTTTACTAAGCAATGCTGACAAGCTGGTATATTCTGCACTGAAACAACTGGTAGACCCAGTGGAAAACAGCATTTGTCTTTAATTAGTACATTTTAATGTTTCGGCCAAGGATCAGCACAGCTCTATGAACTCTGTAGATAAGCACGTGGTCAATTTAGACCTGCTGAGATTAACTCATGCTATGCACTCTTTCTCTTAAAAGCAAAATGCCACTAAACTACTTTACTTTATATTTGAGCTGGAACTTAAATGGCTCTTTGCTGTAATTCTACAGTCAGTGTTTTCAGAATAGACTCCCCCTCACCCAATTTAAACAAAATGGAAGGGATGTGCCGCTGCAGGCAGTTCTTTCTCCTGCTGGCATGCCTCCTTCTCAGCCCTCACCTTCCACTTCATCTCCAGGATGGCCCTTTCCACCTCCTCCAGGGCTCGCTCCCTCCTTTCCACAGCTCTCTCCCGCCATTCCACAACCCTCTCCCTCCTAAGCACCTCCTTTTCCCTGTGGCTGGCCCATAAAGCCAGGGCACCCACCTGCTCCAGCAGCCTGCCCCAGTCACCCTCGATGCCCATGGGGAGCTGGGGCCCTTGGGGCCTTGGGTCCTGGCGCTGCCCTGCCTGACCATGGCCACTCTTCTCCAGCTCCTCTCTGTGCATGCTTTTCAGATGCTTCCACAGAGCTGTAGTGCCCACATTGACCCCAGGGCCACGGCTCACCTGCCGTCCACACAGGCGGCAGGTGGCAAACTGGTTGGGGTGGTGCCCAGCACGAGCAGGGGCCAGGTGGAAGTACTCCCACACCTCAGAAAACCGGGTCCCCTTGTTGTGGGGCATTGGAGAGGGCATAGCACTTGCAAAAGGGCCAACCAGTTCCCCCGTCTCACTGATCTCCTCCTCCTCCTTCATCTCTAGGTCCCCCTTTGCCTTCATCCTGGTTCCCTCCTCTTCCTCCTCTTCTCGCCTCATCGTGTCTCTGCTTCTGCAGCTTTCTTTATGATGTGCCTAGACGTGAGCCAAGAGTTGTAGCTGAAGCACAAATTAAATCATTTGGGGGAAGGGACTGTGCTAACTCTTGGGGATCCACAATAATGGTCAGCGTCTGGCCACACCTGGGTGGTGTGATGTTTTCTCCTTTCTGCTTCACTGGAGAGTCAGGGTGAGTCAGACACAAGCAGGATGGCCTATGAGTACATTCTCTCCATGCTCCAGATACTTACTGATCCCTCTTTGACTAAGCTGGAAAGACAACACACATTTGTTCCTGCAGCAAATGTGTTTCCTGTCCAACAATTACAAAGCTCTTCAGTGAACTCAGTGTTCCCTACGTCAATGACCACAACAAGTATTTTTGAATATTGAAAATTTTAGGTTTTTCTTGATTCTCCTCTTGGTTGCTTCCACTATTTCTGTGTTCCTTGTTTCCTATAAAATATGTTTTGGAGGCAGAAGGAACAGCCTCAGGTTTCAAGCTGTTCAGGATCCCCAGGGCTGGGGTCTCACTGGGTCTTCCTAAGAGCAGACGAAAGCAAGCACAGACAGATGCTGTTGTAGAGAGAGTCTTGCTTCCCAAGAACTGTTGCAACAAGCAACCCAGAGCTGCAAAGCCTGCCAGGATCTAGGCAATAAAGTTCCCAATGTGAGGTCACTTTGTCCCTAGAGGTCCCTCTGAGGCTGAGATTTTAAGAAATCCAAACCGTGGGCCTCGCTGTTTTCAGCAGGAGGAGCAGACATGCCCAGAGAAAGAGGTGGAGCACATCTCCACAGGTGTGGTGTTGTCTGGTTGTCCTCGCAAGCAGCTCACTGTACTCCACTTCCCCAGCACAATCACCTGCAAAGCCAACAGCCAATAAGACCTTCCCAAAACACCTTACTTCAAATGTTTGTCTTATTTACCCCATTTTGAAGATAAATAAATAAATAAACAGAAAATTATATTGCATTTTCAAAACAGCCTGACTTCTCTCTCTTTTCTTGGGACATTCCTTAAATGAATAACAGCCTTATTCATTAAGCTTTGCAACCCCAAACAAGTCCCCCTGTTCACCACAAATGGGTACTCACAGGCAAGCAAGGCTCTGGACTTGTCTCTGATCTCTCAGTGCAGAGTGAATATACTCCTGCACACCTTGAATGGCTATTAGCTGACTCCTACCCCCAGGAGGAGGGCACCTTCAGTTCTGGTTTCCTCCCACTTCCAGGGAAGCTTTGTTTCCCAGTGGGTGTGTCTTTGCCTGTCGGTTTTTTCTACAACACTTAAGCACAAATGCAAACCTTTCCTCCACCCCCTACATCACCCCCAAAAAAGATGTTTCTGGTAAATATGCAGCAGAACAGTAAGTCAAGCACCTACAAGTCTTAGTTCTGTTTCCCAATGACTAGATTATTTGGCCTCTCGAGCAAAGAAAGAGATTTGGGAGGGGGAGGGCAGGGCGAGGGAGATAGGCAAAATACGGGCAGAGAAACCGCATGCCTCCAGGACATCTGTGGTTTCAAGTATTTTGTCCACTTGTCAGACCATGAGTCTTGATTTTTGGCTTGGCAACTATGGCTGCGGTAAATACAGTCAGTAGAAAAGCCAAAGAACTTGCAGAAAAGGATGGATTAAGTAAAACTAACGCCTAAAATTCAGGAAATTGAAAACAGATCTGGAATATTTTTTATTTTATTATGTAACTAGAGTTGGAAAAGCTGAAATGCTATTGGCTTCTACTCTCGGAAATAAAGGGAAAAAATGACAACTTAAGCAAATATATATATATATATATATATACACACATATGTATTATGCATATTAAATATGCATATACATAATATACATGTATTTAAATTTGAAAAGAAAAACTTACCAAGAGGAGACAGAAACTTTTTTAAAAAGATGTCCATGGAAGAAAAAAGTTTTCATTATAGAAGAAAAGATAAACATGTAGACACTGAAAGTTAAATTTCAAACTGGGGAGGGGGGGGGGGAAGGGGAAAGAAAAATTCCAAATAGAAATGATGAGCTGGTAAACAAATAGGAAA